AAAAAAAAAAAACAAAATCTAATTATAAACTATTTCTACTGTTTTTGTTCGTTAATTTGTATTTTGAAATGTTTTCGAATTTAGTTAATTTTTTTTCCCAACATAGAGCACATTATTCAATAATAAAAGCAGAAAAACAATATTAACAATATATATGCTAAAGAATTAACTGTGGCATGTCTAATAGATAATCATATCCATAATTCAGCATTTTATGATTTGTGTTCAATTCGGATATGACTTGATTCTGCTGTCAAGTTCTTTACCAAAAAAACGTGTGTAACCTCAATTTATTGGCAATAATTATTGAATGATTAATGAAAGAGTTACTATATTTATGCAATAATTAATATTTTTGACGGGAAAAGATTACTAAAATGAATTAAGTTAATTCTTATTATATATTAATAAATATTTTAATATTATTTATGCACGACAATAAATATTTTAATATTATTTATCCGTGGAGGTACACATACTAGTTTTAAGTAGAAGCACATGACCTTAAATAATAGACTACACTTGACATTTTGTGCATTTACTAAAAAAACCCCCAAAAAATTGTATTCACATCTTTTTTTTTTTTTGTTTGATTATTAAAAAAGAATGATCCAATATTTTAAATAAACTATATAATAAGATAATTTCAAATCACAAATAATAATAATTATAACGTGTATCATACTATAGTATATAATAAAAATATGATATATGATAGGTAATAGAAAAAATAGTGATATCTGCCTAACAATTTGGAAGTAAACAAAGAGCAGCGACTATGAGTAATGGGCAGGTCAACATCCGCGAGTCCACCCTTCCTCCACTTTCATCATCTTCTCGCTGGTTTCAGATTTTCACAGTTTCACCCTCAATAGTCAATGCGCATTTTTAACGTTTTTGACCCGAAAGGAATAAAAGGAAAATCACAAAGATGCTAGGGTCCCGTTACGGAACCATTTCGTCGGTGTTTGTAATCGACGATTACCTGATGATCTAACGGATTACAAGTTCCGATTGAATTGTTTCGTAACATGACCTTTAACATTCCCGGAAAATCGAACCAAGAAACTGTTTTTTTT